ATAAAAAGTAATCATGAACATTTATCATCTTTCTTCCTCACCTAAAATGATTTACCTTTTTAAGGCACATGTTCTATACCTGCTTTAACTTAGTAACTTTATAGCTGTATCTACTATATAAACTATCTCTGATAACCCCCACGTAACCCTTATGATTCAGATTCTCTGAACGAGTATATAACTTCTACATTCCCCTTATAAATTGATCACCTTTAGACCTAAACCCACACTCCTGTCTTCATAATGTTTTCTCGACCGGGTCGCCGAGTGCTAATTTGCTTCATTTATCTTTCCTGGTTTCGGACGGACAACTTGCCTTTATATATATATAGTATTACCCCCTGCTCACCCCTCCACCACCGACAAACCAAAATGCAGTACAATTACTCGACGTGACTCCGAGGCGCTTAATTGCAGGCAATTCGAGTTCTGGCTCTGGATTTTCCACTCTTTCTCTTGTGTTTTTCTTTTTTATTTTTGTATCTTGAAAGTCTGTCGTCGACTGCCCCGTAATAAATCTCACGAGCCTCCAATTGCAAGAGAGTGTCCAGTTCTAAGCGCTGGACATAATAGATAACCCCCGACTCGTAATAGAGGCTACACCCAGATCTCGGGTTCTCTCGAGGAGAGTTTGAGTTTTCCCTTGGCTTTCGCCCAGCTGTCGGCGATCGTGTGACTGGACTGACTGGCTGAGTGGGCCAACGGGAAAGCTAATGTCTTGACCATCACGACCACCTCAACCACTCGCTCTGACCGAGATCATAATTCAGAGGGAAACCTAAGACAAATCGCATGTGTAAATTTTGCTACTGAAGTGGGTCGTGGGCATAAATCAAAAACGGTGGGTCACTTTAGCTATGCCTCGGTGGTTTATGTTGCTGCGTTGCATGCAACACGCCAGCTTGTAGAGTTGAATGTTGTAAGTTGAAGTCGCGATTTGTTAGTTTCTCAAGTTGACCCACTAGCGGAGTATCTGGGTGTGTGAGTCCGCCATCTCGGGCCGTTACTTTTCACACCCAAACTGGTTGCTAAGGCGAAAACTAGGCGACAATTGTAGCTGCCGCAAAGGGGTTGGGGTGGGGGATTGCAGAGAGAAAAATAAGGGGGGAGTTTTATAGTATATTTTGGACTATTCTATGAGAGTAATATCTGTTTTTACCATCTTGAAGAGACTTTTTTAATTATCAGAATTAAAGTGGCTTTAATCTGAAGTCTTTTTGAGTATCTTTAGGTTACATTTTCGTTTGAAAACTCAACGAAAACCTTCTCTTTTTTTATAATACAAAAAATAAATATAATATCCCCTCCTTTTATTATAATAATAAAGATTTCGAAAAACTTTATTTTCCCTGTGCACTCAGTTGGAAAATGCACAAACAATAGAGAACCGCCAGCATAATAATTGATCGCCGCGGCGGGCAACTTTCCAACTGGTTTTCACATCTACTGCTATGTAAAACCCAAAGCCCGATAGCTATCAAAGATTTTCCTTAATTTCCAAACAGTTTTATCCAGTTTTTATTGCCCTCTTGTCTCTGGCGGTGCATTGTCTAAGATTTCCTCTCATTTCGTTTTGAATTTTCTTTTTTTTTTTTTATGATTTTCCAGTCGCCGCGGCGAACAAAAGAGCCCAAAGTTTTCCTTGTTTTTTGGATGAATTATGAGCAAAGGGAGTGGTGACCCCGAGTTGCCCTTGTGGTGGTGGCTGATGGTTCTCCTTCTCCTGCGGCTTCATTTCATATGCATCTCGATGTGAATGGACTCTATTAATGTGTAATGCGATCTGCGGCGCATGGAAAATCAAATGAGCTGCCTGGTCAGTGTGGCAGAGAGGCAGCCGTTTTGCCTCGCCTGTCGTAATGCCTGATGTTGATGTATCTTTGTATCTTTCGTGTGTGCTCAGACCCCCTGTAAATGTATCTTACATACTTTTGTAATTTTAAGCTGACAGCATCTGGTCAAACGGATGACGGCCTGCAAACTATTTCTGGCATATTGCAGTTCGTGTTTAATTCGACTGATTACAGGCGTGTTGGTCTGCTGCAGAAATGGGTGGGGTGTGTGTGGAGTGTGTCTGTCAGCTGCCCAAATATTTCGCCCTCGACTGTCAAACATCCCGCATTGCATCACCCACTAGTGCAGGGTCATAAAATTTTGGGTGTTCTATTTAGAAAATGAAAAGAAAATGTGTTTTTAGACAAGTAAATAGGTAGTAAAAAATAAGAAAAATATTTTGAAAATATTTAAAAAATATTTTCGATTAAAATTTGGCTTTTAAGGTTGTAAATTTGGGTTTTAAAAGGTTTTAGCTTTTAAAGTTATACTAAAAAGGTTTCTTTTAGTCAACCTTTTGGGCTGAAAACTTCTTCTTTAAAGTTAAAAAGGATCATATTTAGACCTATAGCCATACCAATCTCGTAATAAAATCTACTATATTTCCAATTATTTTCCTTTGTGAGCAATTCAAAGTACACATTCATGTAAATATATATACATATATATATATACTTTGTACCATCAGTCTTAGACTCCCCTCGTTCGCTCGTGTCGTTTTGGCCCTTTGTCTGTCAGTGGCATTTTGTTTATTTTTATCTGGTGCTATTTTCAGTTTCAGTTCGCTTTTCCTCTTGCATTTCCATTCATTTTTGTGCGCGACTGCCAGTTTTTATTTGGTTTTTGGTTTTTCGTTTTCAGTTTGCATTTGCAAGTCAGGCCCGGCGACTACGGTGGAACATAAATAAATATTTACCACAACCGTACCCTCAACCGTAGCCCGTATCCGTGCACTTCATCTCTGGCTTCCTGTCCAAATAATTGCGCATCCAGCAAATGCCAACAGATGGAAAAGGAAATGCACTTAGGGCGATAAAAATCCATAAATAAAATACTCAGGGAGGTAGTTATAGTTCTGACTAGATGAATGCATTTCTTTTTATAGAATTTTAGATGGTGATAATTAAAATATAATTTGGTATTACAAAGATTTTATTCGAGTTGCGGAAAAGTTGATTTTGGATACGAACTTCTCTAGGGTGCAGTTTATTTTAAAATTTTTTATTTTCTTAGCTGCAACATGACTTCTGTTTTTAAACTTATAATTATTGAGCTCTTTTTAGAAATGTTTATCAAAGAAATTATTTAATAATAATAATAATTCATATTAATAAGCTTTTAAAAATGATAAACTAATGACTTGCAGGAAGCTAAATACATATCTAAACTATATACCCCAAACCCATTTTCCCATATCTTGTTACATTGGAACAACTTACATATTTACCACATAAATTGCCTGGTAAATTATTAATAGACTCGGAAAGATTTTTCAATTAACAAAGCCATTATGCAATCCATTGAGTTGCGTTCGAGTTCGATGTTTGCCCTAAATACTGGACACATATGGCCACGCATATGAATATCTCTGAATATCAATTTGTGTGTGGAAATAAACAAAGCACTGGAAATAATAATTAGAGATTTGTTTATAACTTAAAAGTAAGAGGAAATATTAGTGAAGTTTTCAGTATTACTTAAAATAAAATATAATAATATAGGTAGGTAGATAGATAGATGGATAGATAGATAGATAGATTCGTAGGTAGATAGATAGATAGATTCATAGGTAGATAGATAGATATATAGATAGATAGATAGATAGACAGATAGATAGATACTTATGAAATATATTAAAAAATTAAATGATTAAAAAGTTTGTTAAATCAAAAGGTATATATCCTGAATTAAAGTGAATATTAAACTTTTAAAATATTGAAATTCTCGAAAAATATAATTTAAAGTCATTTAAATATTTGCTAATATCCGAAGTTAAATTTATTATAATATAAAGTGATTATAAAATCTTAAAAACATAAATTCTTTCTCTGTAAAACACTCGAAATGCTGTGGGCAAACATGGTATATCATCCAATAAAATATATATATCACAGACTACTGGGCGTAATGGTGTCGAGTGCCTGCCCCTGGGGGTTTGCCTTTCGATCTGGGTTCCCTATAGTTGGTTCCCTCGCTAATCGACCGATTCTCCTACCGTTAAGTGGTGCTTAGTGCCTGCCACAACGAGAAATGGGAGTCCAAAAACAAATCGGTGGCTTATTAATGAGCTGAGCTTAAGACATATCTTTGTTTTTCTTATTTTTTATTTCTGTCTTGCGCTCTCGCATAATTAATCAGCTGAGTTACGAAATCCGCTGAATCTGCATTTGAATGATTCACTTTTGGTCTCCGAATTATATCAGCGGGTTCGATTTCCGCTGTCATTATAAACATAAATGACTTTTATCGGATATATATTAGCAGCTGATCCGATGACGTTTTCCGAAACATCATGCGGGCCCCTCGATGAAACCCCCTTGTCATGGTTTTTCGTCATATTGTGAGTTTTCTTCTTTTTTAACCCCCGAATTCGATGGGCTTGTTGATTGATCTATGAGGGCGGTTGGTCCATTAGGTATTAATTGAGCAGAATTTGTGATATATGCAATTTATATTAGTTTTTAGTGTGATAACATATGGTAGTTTGCCTAAAATTGGGAAATATTTATAAGTAATTAATTTCTATTAGGCATTTTTTGTATTTTATAATATTTAACTTAAAATTTCCTACATACATAACTTAAAAATTCAAGAAGACAGTATAATATTAAATTATTTCAGTCTTTAAAGTCAAGAAAAGGCTATCATTGAATTCTAAAACTAAAATAAAACCAATTAAAGCCTTTTAAAATGCATACATATTTTCCTTTTTGGAAATAAATTAAATTTTCATTTTCAAATAATTAAAAAAAATTATATACACTTTTCTGTAATACTTGAAAATCTAATTATTTTATAATATAATTCTCTATTATTTTTATAAAATTTCTTCCCGCCATAAAATTCAAAAACTTAACATTGCGCATAACAGCTCTCAACTAACATAACAGCACCCCAATTACATCACTTTAACGTAACATAACGTAAAGCAGCCTAATACCAACGTAAAGGTAACGTGAGTAAACAGCTGATTGCGAATGTTGTGATTAATTTTCTTTACAAAAAATTAAATTTTGTTTATTAATATTAGTACAAACTAATAAAGTCCATACAACATGCGCCGTCGCGTTGGCCTGGGAGCCATTCAGCAACAAAAACTAGCCGCAGAGAAGTATAAGGACAAGGGCACAGATCTGCAGGAAAATCAACTCGAACAAATGACCAAACAAATGGAAGTTTTCCGGGTGAAACTGGAGGAATTTGCAATGAAACACAAGGAGGACATACGCAAGAACTCCCAGTTTCGTAAACAGTTTCAGGAAATGTGTGCCGCCATCGGAGTTGATCCTTTGGCCACGGGGAAAGGATTCTGGAGCGTACTGGGCATGGGTGACTTCTACTATGAACTTGGTGTCCAGGTGGTGGAAGTTTGCCTGGCTGCGAATCATAAAACTGGTGGCCTTATGGAACTAGATGAACTGCGACGACGACTGATTGCCGCCAGGGGTCAGAGTTCTGTGCACCAGGAGATCACCAAAGAGGACATCCTCATGGCCGCCAAGAAACTCAGTATTTTTGGCAATGGGTGAGGGTTTAAGATGGAGTTTTCTTTTGAGTATACTGTATTTTAACTATCAAACTAAACTTTCAGCTTTGTGGTGCATAAACTGGGCAAGGGGAAGTACATAGTCCAGTCCATTCCTGGAGAGCTGAGCATGGAGGAGACCAACATACTAAATGCCGCCTCCAATACCGAACAAGGATTTGTTACGCAAAGTCAGCTCATAAATGACTTAGGGTAACTATTTGGCTAACTTATAGAGTTGAAAACGATACTAAATTGTATTGCTTAGATGGACGGACTATCGCGCCCAGCAGTCACTGGACAAGGTACTCGGCGAGGGTCTCTGTTGGATTGACAAGCAGTCGGAGGATGAGCCCACCTATTGGTTTCCCAGTTTGTTTCCCGGTCGCAATGCACAGGCAACAGCCGCCTCGTAGTTTCCTTGCTCCGATAAAAATAATTTAATCTGTACAATTATCGCAATCATAAAATATATCTTTGTACAACTGTAAAATGAACGGTTAGGTCTAGAGAGTCTGCCGGAAGCTATCACCGGCGGCACCGTTCTTCAGCAGTTCATTGTCGGCCCGCAGCTCGTCGTTCTCCTTCGTCAGCCTGTAAATAACCTTCTCGAAGTCTTGTGTGATGTCGTCCATGGCCGCTCGGTATCTGGACTTCATCTGCTTTTGGGCCAGAAGATAGCGCTCCATCTCGGACTCGTAGTGTTCTTTACTATAAGTAGAGCCGTGTTGATATTACGATTAGTTTATTAATTTAATAAATAATATTCTATACTACAGCTTTTTACATTTTATAAACAATTTGTAATATATTTTGTAAACTCACATTTTGGCCTCTTGAAAATCTTCGCAGTTCTCTTCGTTGAGGGATCTCTCTAAGTCGTTGAGTCGCCTACCGGTGACCTCCACTTCGGCCTCCAGCTTATCGTTTTGCTTCAGTACCTCCTTGTACTTCTGCTCCAAGCGATTGTTTTGCACCTCCAGCTGGTGAACCACCGACTTGTGCTCGGCCGACTCCTTCTTTAGCTTTAAATTATACAAAATATATAAGTAAGAGTTATTAAAAATCATTATAAATCTTACCCTCTCCTTGATGTTGGTAATCAAAGTGTCCTTCTGCTTGAGCATGCTCTTCAACTTGGCCACTTCGTTGTCCACACGAATGGATGCGTCCTCCATGACGCTGCTTATATCGGTGGCCAGCTGATTGACCTCCTCCTTGTATGCCTCGGCCAGCTTTTTGGCCTCCATTTTCTCCTTGGTGGCCTCTTCGCTTAGCGTGATGGCCTCCTCGACCTTTCGCATGGCTGCCGATTCTCGCCTTGTGCTCTCGATTAGCATTTTGTGGGTATGACTTAGGGACACCTCACACTCCTTCAATTGCTTCTGGAGGGTAGAGACCTTGACCTGATCTTGTTCTAGATCCTTCAACTGGCTGTGCAACTGCTGCAGTTGCTCGCCGCTGCTCTGCTTGTGCTCGTGAAGCGCCTTTATGGTCTCCGCCTGCGTGCGCAGCTCCTCTTGCTGGGCACTCATCTTGGCCTCCAACATTTTCACGACCTTCGAGTACCTCTGGATGATCTAAAAGTGGTTTTCGAAATGGGGTTAAAATTATTTTTGGATTTTATTATGTTGGTGCCCGGTTCTCGGAGTAACAATAAAGTCAATGCTGACTATTAAAAAAATATTTAAAAATTGAATATTTTAAGTTTGATGTTTTATAAAGTTTTTCCTTATATTTTGGATCTTAAGAAGAAAATAAATACCTGATTATCACCCGACTCTTGCATTTGGACGCGATAGTTTCTCAGCTCCAGCTCCATGTTCTCGATGGTCCTTTTGGAGAAGTCCTGCATGGCCTGCAGGCTCTTCCTCTCCTTGAGAAGTCCCTGCACCTGCTTTCTGGCTGCGTCCAAGGCATTGTTGGTCAGTTTTAGGCGCTGCTTTAGATCCTGGAAATCCCCACTGGCCAGGGTATTCCTGCACTTGGTCAACTCGCTACTTAGCCGATGGTTATCATGTAGAACTTTTTTGACATGGACTCGCAGATGGTCTTGATCCTGTCGGAAGTTTCGCAGATCCTCATTGGTGTCCCGCACCAGGCGCTCCACATCTTCAGCCACATCCCGAACAGTGCTAGGGAAGATTAAGCTGTTGGTCTCCTTTGGGAAAATATTATTCATTTTCTTACCTGGGAAAGGCTTGCTTGTTTTCCTGTTGTGTCATAGTTGTTGTGGTTTTTCGACTGGCAAATCACATTTTACTAGACTTTCTTTCGAGTGTTAGGTTAGCTCTGATACAAATTTTCATTTTCCAAACTTGTTTTGAAATTGTAGACTTGGGAGAACATTATAGCCTTTCTTCGCAATCATTATTTTTAAATTTTTTACATATTTTTATCCCATAAAGGACATTAAACTCAAGAAAAAGTAACATTTTCTTTGAAATCAATTTCGGTTCGACCTTTCACAACCTTTTTTTTACAATCTAGCAAGCTTTGCCGCAACTTGTAATTAATTATTAGCAGATTTTTTAAACATTTCAAATATCTTTATAGTTTTTGATTAGAAAATACTTTTCTTTCACAGGTTCTATGCCACTGGCAGACTTTTGCTGTCCTTTGTCAATCTGTGACAGCCTGCCACCCTTCCAGCAGGTACTAAAAAAAACAGGCACGAGTCCTTTGAAGTCCGCTGACCCCCGGACAAGTGGTGGTTGTCCTGGGCAACGTTGCCAGTCAAAACAAATAGCTAAATAATAGTATCTGAATATGGTCAATTTTCCATTTCAGTCGTTCGCCATGCCGCTGTTCAACAAGAAGTTCGAATCGAAGCCCATTCCCGTGCGTCAGGGTCGTTGCAATATTGGACATCCGCTGGCCACCGAAGATCTGGAGGATTTCCGGCAAATATCACTGACTCTGGGCAACAAGGAGCTGCGTTTTGCGGATGGTATTTGGATGCACTCCTCCCGTAAGGGTGACGTCGATGACATGCTTAGGTTGAACAAGAAGTTTCGAGCTCTCGAGGAGGAGAATAATATGTGTAACCTGAAGATCGAGGTGATGCTGGATCTCTTGGCGGAGCATGCCACTGAGCTAAGTGAACTTAAGCCAAAGGAGAAGTAAAGAGGGGTAATAAAATGGAGAAACTGCAGACTAAAATATTTATTTAACACTTTTTTTAAGGATAAAAGCAGAAGAAAAAACATTGTCAAAGAAAGTCTGTAAAAATATATACGCTGGGTATTAAAATAATATTTTTCAGCTTAGTTTTCTTAATTTTTATTGAATTGTTTTCAACTTTGTAAAATTTAAATTTAAAACATTAAAATTTAAGATAAAATAAACCCCCCTTTCCTAGACTTGTTATGGTTATCAGTCATTAGCTTAAAAAATCTCTAAAAACTCTGTAAAGTTTCCTAAGGCTGATGAGTTCCCGAGGTATCAGTGGACTTATTCTCCTGTTTGGACTGAGCATCACTCATAAGCTCGGAATGTATCTTTTGCAGAATCGAATACTCGGCATCAAACTTTCGCACTAGCTGGTTAATGTCCTTTCTAAAGCTGGCCATCAATGTTTTTTGCACAACTTGATAAGATTTTACTTCAGCCTGGTGGCGTTTCTTTCTGTGTAGGTTAGAGTTAAGAGGTAATAATAAAATAAATATTTTAGATATATAGGCAACTCACAGTTCAGCTTGAAGGTTCTCTATATCGGGATCGAGTTCATTCACAGAACGTTCCGCCTCAGCTTCTAGTTTCTCATCCCGTTTTAAAGCCTTCTCGTACTTTTGTTTCAAGCGAATTTTCTTTCTGTGTAGGTAATGAACAATAATGATAAGTAAATATTATTACAAAAAATCAAATTTAAATCTCACAACTCGGGATTTGAATATTTATCAGAGACTTCCAATTCAACCTCAAATTTCTCATCAACTTTAGGATCTTCAGAGTATTGATCTTCCAAGTATTGATCTTCCTCTGACAGGGATTTCAATACTTCGTAATTAGACTAACGGGGATTATTTAGTTAATATACCAATATTAAGTTAGACCTTACCGGATCATTCATGGCTAGAATTCTATTCTCACTATATTCCATTTGACTTTTAAATTGATTCCCTTTTAAAGTTACAGATTTGACGGCCTTCTCAATAACTTTGTTCTTTGCATCAAAGCACTGATCCTCCATCAAATGCAAATCAATCGTATCCTCCTGATTGGGACCCATTGATACTTCTAATCAGAACTCTAAACCAAATCAAACTTTGGAAAATGCCTAGATCAACTTGAAAATAAACCCAAAATAGCAATGAATTTTATAAGCTTATTAAATGAAAGTAACAACTGGAGAAGCAAAGTGAACTTGATGCTATTCATTCTATTCTTATGATGGGAGTTCATTCTCCATATTAAAAGTACCTCTCCTTTAGCCTTCTAACTTTCCCATCTAAAGATAAATACAATCGAAAGGCAAAGTGAACTTGATACTACTCATTCTATTCTTATGATAGGAAGCTAATTCTCCTCATTAAAAATACCTCTTCAAAAAGAGACAGTTAAGCCTTAAAGCTTCTAACTTTCCCATCAAAATCGAAATCAAATCGAATAGCTATTGCATTTGTTTATTTATCGTAAATACCATAAATATAGTTTGACCCAAAGTTACCCAATTTCGATTAAGTCCCAACCACATACTTGAGATCTATTTATAATGCCACATTAATCAGTTTCACATGCCCATCGGCAGGGGGTGTTGGTGTGTTGGGAGTTATCAAGAGGTGTGTGTGTGTGTGTGTGGGGGCTTTTGTTGACCAGCCCATTGGGCATTAATATGGATTTGCTTGGCCCGACCAAGCTGGTCAAATTGGTGGCATTGTTGTCGCCATTGGCAGCAATCTATAGACGCCATCAAATGGTATCGCGCCGAGTTCCGCCGTCGAGCTGCCGGTGGCTCCCGCTTCGTTTATAGGCCGCTTGATAAGCCACCATTAACAGAACCGATAAACCCGATCGAACGGCGGTCCGACTGCCGTGATAAAACCAACCCACCGATGAGCCACCGCTGAGAGCTATATAAATATAGTGCCATGAATTTACATGACCTCCTCCTGCTCCTGCTTCTGCTCCTCCTCATCATCATACTCATTCCTCATTCAGTACTTCAATCCTATCAACCCGAGTTCCCTGGAGTTAGACAAATTTTTCGGATCGCCCCCGATAAAGCTTAGCAGTCTAATCTCCATTTACGGGGGACGGGGAGAGTGGCAGTAGCGCGGGTGCCTTCACTGGATATATGTACATAGGTGTCTGGCTAGGCCCCATATCGGTCCACTCCATCGACTACTGTATATTTACGCACCGATATTGATATGCGATAAGCAAAACTGCTTATAAAACACATTTATTTCGTTGTTCCCAGCAATGCCAGCACCTATGGCAATAGGACACTCACAGAAATTGCGGGTAAGTTTGGGTTCAGAAGAAATATATAATAAAAACTAATATTATATGGATATATATATATATATGGATTAAAATTCGTAAACATATTTGGAAAACTTTACTTTTGCCATTTTTCTTTCTAAAAATTGTATCTACTTTTCTTCCAGTGCACTGGCCACGATGGCCGCTGCCGTCGCCTCCGAGGGGTAACACTTGTTCGAATCGTGTATTACAGTAGTTTGTTGATAGCCAGCCCCGCGAACGGAACGCGTACGGAAGAAACCGATTGCCATAGATCGATGTTTCTACAATATTTACGGACCTCCACCAGCCAATTGCCGTGCGGAGAACGAAAGCAATTGGATCTCTAGACGGGAGAAAAGCTAATATTTTGCGAAATTTGCAAACTCTGTGTGGCATTTAAAGTAATTGGAGAAGCAAACTCAAAGTTCTAACTAAAAAAAAGTATAAAAAAAAGAGATATATATACGCCATATCAGCAAAAGCCAGGCAGGCGATTATGAAGCCATCGTGTCAGTTGTCCATCCGTTCTTAGCCAAAGTGAGTGTGAATTTGTGTTTGCTACTATTTTGATTGTAGTTCCCTCGGTCCGAAGTCGGTAAACAAATTGTCTATTAAACAATCAACTTTTCACCTAATAAATGATATCGTATAAATCAATTGAGTCGATGCCAATCAAGTGGGGCAACACAGATAAATCTCCATCACAATGGCCAGAGATCTCCACAGCTTGGAAGAGGCATAAACAAACGTCCCTCCCATCAAAAGTGTTTTATGAGTTTCGTGTGTTTTTGGTTTTTATTTTTGTGATCGGGACAGAGTGATCGAGAAATGATTTGTTCCTGACATTCCACTTATGTATTTATTTTATTAGAATGCATACAGAATATTTAAGTGGCCAAATGACAAAGGCTACAAGGCAGTTCTTGTTATATTACTTCCAATCAAGATGTATTCTTGATATTTAATATCCCTAAAGAAGATCATAAATAGCTTCTCTCTCTCTCTTGACATAATTTACTTCCAAACTGGAACATTAACTGTTAATTACGGACAGTTAGCGCCCTTCTACGCGCTTCTCAATCTATCGAGTGCCCCCGAAAGTTCTTTGGTAGCCCGCCAATCAATTGATAAACGAGCATTATCGCCGCGGCAATGATTTATTGTTGCATAAATGGCACTCACTATTTATTTATTAATAAATGAGAAGCGAAATTTCTGATAATTTATATACGAGTATATACTATATATGAGACTACCAAGGATTTGTGCCTCCAAAGTGTGTGTTTGAGTGTGTATTTTTGTGTGAGCCCAATGTAGAGCACCCGTTCGCTTCAAATGGCCAAGTAAATAAACAAAAGTGAATTTTTACACTCATCGGCCGACAGCGCACAATAAAATGTGTGAAAAATGTGGTAGAGCAGCCACTGGAAATGCAACCGCGTAGACCAAATAAATAAATAAATAAATAAATACAAAACTTTTGAGAGCCTCGTACTGTTTGTTAAGAAATTAAATGAAAATCGATCATTTGTGGAAATAAACGAATGGCCAGCGGGAATTCAAATAATAAAAATAAATACCAAACCATTGTGTGCCCCGAAAAAAGTAACTAATCAAAGTGTGTTCGACGGGTTCCTTTCAGCGATAACAAGTGGAAGACAATGTCGCGGATATGCTAAATGGAAATGGATCCGATGATTTGTGATTTGCGGTTGGGCCACATCTGGCTATTAATTCTCATTTGTTTCTGCGGCTTCAAGCAATCCAGCTCGTTTTTCGTAGACTATACAGGTGAGTTAAGGTGGGGTTTTGGGGTACTTAATCATCATATGCAGTTGGAAGAATTATATGTTTTAGTTGTTTGTCTTGTCTTGAGACTAAGAAAGAAGAAACAAAGTTTTAGATTTCAGAAAGATTTTCCAAAATGTTTTATATTATATCTGAAATTCAAATAAAAAGCTCTTTTTTGTAACTCCACGTTTCCGCTGTTGTTCGTCAAAATGTTCGGAAGGTTAATCGCAATTTCGAGTAGCGCACAGCACTTGATAAGATACTGTCAATTTGGCTATCATAGATACAGCAAAAAAAGTAAACAATTGCCTTGATTGAATGGTTTGGAATTTTTTTGTTTTATATTTCTTTTTCTCTCGCAGAGAACACAGAGCTAATTCAGCAGAGAGCCGGCTTTGATGTCAAGCTGCAGTGCAATCTCAAAGGTCTCGTAGACGAAAGTATGTTGGATGACATTAAGATACATTGGTATTTCAAGGTATTTATTAGTTTTCATAATCAACATATATAGATTTTTAATAAGGAATGTTTTTATAGCAATGCAATGAAAACAATTGCCATCAGCTGGAGTCTGTGGATGAGTGGACGGCGTTGCCTTGCGAGCCGAGTTTGTGTCGTCCGGAGTTATGGCTCCGGAATGTTACGGAACGATATTCGGGACTTTACAAATGCACCATCAATCCTCATATTTGGGACAAGGCTCAATCAGTAGATGTTCAGCTAGTTCGTACCTATCAGCTAGATGTTAAGAGTTAGTAATGCAACCAAAATCTCTGACTTCTTTAACTAATTCAACTTTAATCTCATAGATACCTCCTTAGCTGCACCCGAGTTTGTAGACTCCTATCCCAACAACAAGACAACGTTGGTGGGCAGTCGGGTGGTGTTTCAGTGCCGCGTTCACAGCGAGGAGTATCCCACAATCAAGTGGTTTCGACGGCACACCTATGTGGGAACTCAGGCAGCTGGAGAATCCTCTTCAACATCCAGTGCCTCCAATTTCAGCACACATATTGTCCGATATAATGGTCGGACATATGAACTACTTGCCACAGATCCAGAAAAACTGATGACACCACAGATATATCTCAGCAAGTTGATACTGGATGGAGTGAGATTGAGAGATGCTGGTCATTATGCCTGCGTGGCCATTAGTTATCGGGGTCATAAGATCAGAGAGGCATTCCTAGAAGTTCTACCCGTTGAGGATGATCAGGAGAAAGAGTACTGGTCTGATTACGATAGTGGAGATGAAGGAATTCCAACTAGCAATCCCCGGGAGTTCCTGCTGCTCTTCCTTATGCCACTGGGATTGGCATTGCTGCCACTAACCGTATGGCTTAGTTACATTTTGTACAAACGCTGCTCCGTGGAATCGGAGGAAGATCTGGACACGGAAAGGTGTGTCCTTGGAGGAAATTAACCCACTGATTGCCAACTAAGTTAAAGCCGCAATACGCTTATTAAGATTGTGAATAAAGACTGTCTAAGTCTAAGTCTAAGCTAAGAAAGTTATATGTACTTAAGTTTAAAAATATAAAATACAAATTTAACAAGTAATCTTAGGTGATAACTTCATTCAAATATTTGTTTATATTTTTCCATATTTTTTTGTCATTTAGTCGAATGTGATGGTTGTGTTCGAGTGTTACTAAGGCCAAGCTCTTCAAGTTCAAAATTTTCGTTGTAGGAAATTCCAAATTTGTTTCATCTTCCGTTTTGTGGCAGACACAGTCCCTATTTGGGCACCAACCACCACAAGTACTACTACTACACCATCATCATTAACGAATCTGAATGCATCTGGCAGCTCCATTCATCCTGAACGTGGTTGTCCCATAACCTCCGGAATATAGTCAAGTTTTCTACAGAGTTCCACTCGTGGTAAAGAATAAACCCATTAAATATCCAAGATCATATTGGCCACGATGTCCGGATCGAGGCGATGCCGCACCTTTTACGAGTACTGCGATTACTTCATGCCCGGGATCTATGACTATCCGGTCACCCATAGTGCGGAGACCACAATCAGTGCCTATCTTCTAGATCCAATCCTGGCCAGTGTCTCATCACCTTGGTCAGTTCCCATTTCGCATGCCACCTATGTGGCTGGACCATTGGGTGTGATTAACTATCTGTCGGATATGCAAAGCCATTTGGCTCTTCCCACCATTCAAAACCTGGAAACTGGTCTTATCTATACAACCATGAGTTCCATTTCGCCGATGTCTGATATCCAACAGACCCTTCAAAGTTGTGTCCAAATGGAGCAGGATGTGTCAGAGGATGAGGGATATGGTTATGAGATTCCCGAACTTGATTTCAGCCTGGAAAATTCAATTTCCGAGTCCGATGGTGATGGGCAGCAGCAGGAGCGCTCACCTATGAATTCCTCAACAGTGGAGATCAGCGAAGAGACGGGTTCAGGAGAGTCTGCCAAATCGGAAGAGGTACCACGGAAGCGAAAGAAACTTTCCAGCAAGCGGGTCTATAAGGCCGCTATGGGTTATTTGGTTGAGGAACCCACAAGTGAACTGTCCGAGGATGATCCTGAGGAACTGCCACCCACTTCCGGGAAATAGAACTTATCTGAAGGCTTCAAAAGTTCAGTGCTGCCTTGAAGTTTCTTCTTCATTCTTCAATTTATTTTGGCCCTGAGTAGTATAGACCAATTTCCAGGTGGCGTTTTCCAGATATATTGCAAAGAATGTGTGGAATTGTAATAGATGTAATAGATGATGAGGAAAATATATTTATTTTATACCAGATTTGTTAGTTTTTACTGGTACTGTACCGTATTGGGATCAAAAAACTAAACTAATTAGCATTAACGGTCAATAAAGGTTCAAAGACAACAAAACTTCACAATGAAAATGATCATATAGATGCAAATTATCTAACCTATATAGTACACAGTAGCACCTAGTCGATACCTAATTGGCACTGCCATTGAGCAACTAATTAAATTATTCGCACATGTCCAAAGACTTTGCTCTCAGTTTTCTCACTTCGTTGAATTCACATGTTAAGTTGTCTCCCAGTCTCTCAGCTTTGCTCTAGCTCTCTCGCTATCTCTGTCTCTGCTTATCGCCCTCTCTCTATCTAGTTGTGGAACTGCCTTCCAGTGCTGCCAACTTTTGACTAGCAAAAAAAGCTGTTTTAGACGGGAAGTATGGAGGAAAAAGCCAAAAAAATAATTTAAAAAATCCAAAAAAAAAGCTAAAACAAATCTATGGGGAACTGACACTTTTAGTCAAAAAGCAATGCAAAAATACAAATTTCCCGTAGTACGCACCCGATGAGCAAAAAAAAAAAAAAAAAGGTCGCTGATCCGGCAAAACTACGATACGTCTTAGATTCCCACCTTCTGGAAGGCGATGAGCAAAAAAAAAAAAAAAAGGTCACGTTCCCACCTTCTGGAAAAAATCTAAACAAATTCGTAAAAAAGCCAGAATTCCCGCTTCCCGCAACTCATGATTTTTTCCCGCGGTTAGCCTTCAAAAAAAGCCAGTTTTGACGGGAAAAAAGCCAAATTGGCAGCCATGCTGCCTTCCATCGACAAGCTCTCTTCAGTTGTTATACGGCTTTTGCTGCCATCGGACGTGACTTGTATTTATTTATTATTATTATACATTTCGGTACACAGCGCGACCTGCGAAATCGAAAACACACTCGCTATAAAATAAACAAAAAACTATTTTTAGGCTGCAAATCTGAAGGAAAAAAAAAAACATATATTTTGTCGATCAACGACTGCAGCGGCGCAGGAGCATAGAACCCATAATAATGGACTGCAAAACGCGACGCGGCACCAAAATATCGGTGATCGCCTTGGGAAGCGCCCTCTGTTTCGTTATGATGGCATACTTTGTGTTTGGGGACAGTAACGACGAGCAGGGTCTGCGGAATCTACGCATGATATCCATAGTAAGCTGGAGCTTATTTTTAACTTCAAACCATAAACAACACAAACCGAGTATTGTTTTTTATCAAACCGCACAAACAGCTGTTCCGACATGGGGCCAAGAATCCCAGTGGCTTCTATCCGCTGGATCCACATGCTGCTCACGATTGGCAGGGCGGGATGGGAGCTCTCACACCGGTTAGTATTGAATATGGTAATATCAAGTATTATCTTAATAGTACTTGTCATTCATAAGTTTAAATATTAACCCTCTTTTACCAACTGAGAGCTAATCTGTGATCTCTAAAGCACTTGAAAAAAAATATGTGAAAAATTTATCAAGATTATGAATGCCAAATTATATTTTTCAATTGTTTTCGTCTTGAGTTTAATATCTTATCTACAAATATTAAAATCTTAAAAAGCCTGTCCAAGTTCGATCATTAACACCACAACAACTTTCACAACTTGAAAGTTTTCTTTAAAATGAAGTTTTTTTAATTTTTACTGACACCTCTATATATTTTATATCTATATTTTTAATATTTCAATAAGATTTAGGCGCTTTTATAAAGATCAGTTTAATTACAAAGGAGACTGACGTCATTATACGGTTTAAATGGGGTGTTAAAAGAAGAATTAGCCATGAGCTGATGTTACACAAAAGCTTCAGTCAAAGAGGGTTTAAAGAAGCTTAAGTACACATATTAGAACATTTAAAATATTTTTTAAATTTTTAAAACTAAACTCTATATTTTGCAATGCACATTTTTCTTCATAGAAAGGCAGCCTGCAGGCCTACAACCTCGGAAAGAATCTTCGCATGCGGTACTACCGGCTCCTGCCCTCGAACAGCCTCTACACACAGCAGCAGGTGCATGTCCTCAGTTCGGCGGCGGAACGCTGTGTGGTGCGTCAATCGTTCCGATAAGAAAACCCTCTATAACCATATAACTATCTGTACGAGATGGGGGTGCCCTAATCAGTTGGCCGTGTTATCTTTTAGATGAGCGCCCAGAGCGTCTTGGCCGGCATGATGCCGCCGCTGGAGAACAACAATGTACTGCCCATACCCTGGCAGCCGGTGGCTGTGAATACGCTATCGCGTAATGATGATATTGTGAGTGCAATCGTATATCTATATAAAGCAATTGCAAGTCATTACTATAATGGTGTGATATCTCTTTTAGCTATTGGCCCAGAAGAAACCCTGTTTGAAGTACGATCATATCCTGCAAAAACTCTACAAGTCGCCGCCTGCTGAACTTCAGAAACTGAACGAGGATAACTTGGAGTTGTATAAGCTGTTGACTAAAAATACAGGCAAGGTGGGAGAGATTTACACAAAAGGGCTCAAATCTTAAAATATTCTTTCAAAAAAATCATATTAATCTTATTAGTTTTGGTATCCAGATAGAAGAAAATTATTTCATTCACTTAAAATCCCAAAATACTTATCTCTCTCTCCTAATGAAAATTAGAACATTTCAAATGTCCTGGACGTGGAACTTCTGTATGGCACACTTAAAACCGAAGAGGAGGCCAGTCTAGTGCTTCCCGATTGGACTGAGAACATATACCCAGAAGAGATCAAGCCACTAGCTGAACGCAGTTACACCCTTTTCACTGAAACTAATCTGATGAAACGGATTAAAGGTGGAGCGTTTCTCACGGAAATTCTAAACAAAATGCAGAATAAGCGAAAGAGGAACCTGAATCCTGATCGCAAAATATTCCTATATTCAGGACATGATGTGACATTGGTTAATGTGATGAATTCCTTGGGGATACTGGATCAGACTACCAATCTTCCGGAATATGCGTCGGCCTTAGCTTTTGAGCTGCATCATAGCAAGTATTTCAGTGATGGCGACTTCGAAGTAAAGGTTGGTTATTTGTTAACAGATACTGGATTTATAATAATTTTTACAATTTTTTCACAGCTTGTTTACTATTACAACAGCGAAGACAAATTCCCCAAGGAGCTGACCATTCCCAATTGCGATGCACCTTGCTCGCTGACCCAGTTTGAGGCCTCTTTGAAGGCTCTAGTCCTGGATAACTATGATGAAACCTGCGAGAATCATCCGCCTGACTGCAAGAACTAAGAATACTTCAATTTTTAGTTGTTTTGGCTTGTTAATAGTGGTTTAGCTTGGGCTGTTTGTTAGATCTCTGGCTATGTCGTAGACATTGCCAGATTTTGTTTTGGGTAACTCAGTATAAAGTTTAAGATGAAAAGGTTTTAATGTATAGCTTTAACAGAAAAATAAGTCATGTTACCTCATTCAGTGTTGAGGATTAGTTTAATTATCTAAAAAAGACAAATAAATTGGACGCAAATTTCCAATTCTATTCATATTTTAAGTTTTTTGCTTGATTGAGTTGGCTATAAGAAAATATGAATATATTTAAACTAGAAGGCTATTCCTTACATTTCAAATTTGCCTGTTAAGCAACTCAAATCAAAAGCTGGCACCTTTGTCCTCTGCATATAGAAAATATATGGGAACCTTTTCCGTCTCGCTGACATGAACAATCTCTGTGTGGCTAATTAGACGAATGGCAGCTAGTCCGTAGAAGAGCATTGGTAAGCCTGGAATGCAACAATAAGTAAGGTTTTAATACCATAATCCTAATACTTAACCAATATGATACACCTACCCAAATTAATAACCTTTAGGAAGCGAAAGAACTTGTCCTCCAGCCAAAGATCTTGCACCTCTCTTTTGCTGCAGTGGTACTTCATATACGGGTAACAGGCAGTGCGAAGAATGTGGTAGTTGGTTCCACTTTCCAGAGACCAGTTGAAGTGTGACATTCCCCTCTGATCGTTGGTCACATCCCGGAACTGTATTTCGAGCAAATACATTTTTAGTTTCAGTAGTAATCGTCCGGAGGAGATAAAGGAATCTTACCTTCACGAAATATGATGTCCAGGGTGGCTCATGGCATTGTTTCAAATATGCGGTCAATACTTCCGAAGCTCGAGGCTTCAATAAAAGGCGGGTAAGTTGCATTTTATTAGCGAAACTCTTATTGCATCACAGAATAAAAACAAAAACAGAAGGTTTTGTTATTATTATTATTGTGTTATCGAATTATCAGCTGTTCTGCTATCGATAGTGTTGGTCGAACTAGACGTATCAGAACTGATATAGTATATATCAATATAGCTACCAAAAATAGCTTTAAATTCCCTTAATATACCATTGCTAGCTTATTTTAAGCTGCCGTTTAAAAGTTGTGGACAAAAATAGGCTAGATGCACAGCCTTGGTTACGGCAGAACAGGTATCGATAACAATTGGGCGGTATAAATTAAATTAATAAATTAAATTATAATTTTAAACATTTAATATTAAGTTTATGATATATATGTTTATTAATTTAAACCTATTTTCAGCCTCTCTGTTCGAACTACTAGTAAGAAGACCGACCTAACAGAGCACTTTATGCTAGATGATGAAGTGGCTAACGAGCAGCTCCGGCAGTATGAAGAGGGTTCAAGGGACCGACTTGAACTTGAGAGCGCTTTATTGGGCGTCCTCAATAGGGTAGAACATGTACCAATTGTTATTAATGGCCAAGAGTTTCAATCCAAAGAGGAACTGCAACAGGTATTACCCTACGATATCCAGCAGCCCATTGCCCACTACGGCCATGCCCATCGCATCCTCATACGAATGGCCATCGACAAGAGTTTGGAGGCGCAGGTGATGTGGGATAAAACTAAGTTAAGCGATCGTATTGATATTTGGGAGAGGGCAGCCGATCTGATAGCCGGTAAACACCGTTACAACATCATAGCGGCCACGATGTTGGGTCAAGGAAAAACCCTGCGTCAGGCGGAGATGGATGTGGCCGAATTGGTAGACTTCATGCGCATTAATCCGGTGTTCCTGCGAGAACTGGCCAACTATGAACCCTATAATGACATGGTAAATGGTGACTGTTGGAACTCCATGCGGTTGAGGGGACTTTCAGGTGAGTTTTCATATAAATTATAAAGGTCTTCATAAATTTATCACTTTGAATTTCTAGGATTTGTGGCAGCCATTAGTCCATTCAATTTCACGGGTATTGCCGGCAATCTGGCCTATACTCCCGCCCTGATGGGCAACTCCGTGCTCTGGAAGCCCTCCGATTCAGCCATCCTCTCTAACTACTTTGTCTTTTTGGCCATGCGGGAGGCAGGCGTGCCTGATGGGGTCGTGAACTTTGTGCCTGCCGAAGAGACGACCTTTGCATCCGTTGTAGCACAGCATCCAAAGCTGGCTGGAATCAACTTCACTGGCACTTCATCCGTCCTCAAAGTGCTTTGGCAACTGGTGGCCCAGAATATTAACTATTATGAAAACTATCCCCGTTTGGTGGGCGAGGGAGGTGGCAAGAACTTTCATTTCGTACATCCCTCGGCGGATCCGAAAACAGCAGTTGCCTGTACTATAAGAGCGGCCTTTGAGTACGCCGGTCAGAAGTGTTCCTCGTGCTCGATGTTGTATGTGCCGGAATCGCTGTGGGAGGGCCATATAAGAGAGCCACTGCTGAGGATCACCGATTCTCTGCTAGTGGGACATGCCACGTACTGTGAATGCTTCTGTTCTGCAGTAATCAATCGACGGGCCTATGATCGCATCTACATGTGGCTAAGATATATCGTCCAGAGTCCAAGTTGTCAGATTTTAGCCGGAGGAACCTGCGACAAGCAGCATGGTTACTTTGTGGATCCCACAGTGGTACAAATCACAGATCTAGATAATATCATATGTCGCGAAGAGCTGCTAGCGCCCATTCTTGGTGTCTATGTTTATCCTGATGACAAGCTCAAGGAGACAATGGAGAAAGTGGCGAAGATCAATCATGGATTGATAGGCTCGGTGTTTGCCACGGATGAGAACTTCATTGAGGAAGCCTACGAAGCTTTCAGATTCAATGTGGGCAATCTCAATGTTAATGACAAGTCCACTGGCTCTATGGTGGGTCAGCAGCCTTTTGGAGCGGGTCATATGACTGGTACCAGTGATAAGTTGGGAAGTCCTCACTCCCTGCTGCGATGGACATCGCCTCAGGTCATCAAGGAGTCTTATAAGCCACATATGAATATCTATTACCCATATATGAATATAAGCGAAGAGAAGCAGGGCATCAAGTATATGAGGAGAGATCTGAATGAGATGGTCTCCCAGGATGAAAGCTCCTTTGAGGACGCCAAAAATGAGGATAATCGTCCAGTGTAACATCTAAATAGAGTTAATTAAGATCCAAATTTCTGTTGTAATAAATTAAGTAAAATTAAAAGCAGTTAATTTTCCTTTCATAAGATATAGCTTAGGTTTATTCTGAATGATTCAAATATGTTATATACATTTGGGAACAGCGTCAAATATTTTGTAAATTTTTATATTTTGTTTTCAATTTTTTAAATAACAAATTTTGTAACCAAATCATGAGATGTCTAGATATTGGCTACTTATTTGGTGCTTACTTGTGATACCCTTACTTAGCTCCAATAACTAGTGAAGAAGTTAACGAAGGTAGACCGAAGGTTGGCATAGGTCCCGACCATGTTTATAGACTCTATGATGCCTATCGATCTCGATTGAAGGACGAGGGAGATGATTCCAAGGGCGCCGTGAAACTGGAACTGAAGGAATTAAAGGATTCAGCAAAATCGAAATTGGGACTAAAAGATACATCAAAATTGGAACTAAAAGATACATCGAAATCGGAACTAAAAGATACATCCAAATTGGAACCAAAAGATTCATCAAAATTGGAATTAAAAGATTCATCTAAATTGGAATTAAAAGATTCAGGAAAATCGGAATTGAAAGATTCAGCCAAATCTGAATTAAAAGAATCAGAATCAAAAGTTAAATTAAAAGATTCCGAAAACTTGGAATTGAAAGATTCGTCGAAATTAGCATTAAAACAATATGAAAAATTGAAAGAATCACCACCACTTCAAAGGGACATAACTTCGATCACTAAAAAATATAACGTACGTATAGATAAAGCTAACGAGTGTACACCAATACCCATAATCAAATACGATGCCACTGATGATCAAGCCATTCCTGCGGCAAAATGCCTTGCCCGTCTACCCAGTCGAAGTAGGGAAAATCAAACTGTTAAGGCAAAGGTAGAACCCAAAACTCCACTGGTAGGAAGTATGATTTTGGTAAAACTGAATGTGCCAGAAAATATGCTAAAAGTGAAAAAACCAGAAAAAATTGAAGATCCCGGAGAGCGTCAAATACTCGAACTTATTCGCATTTATCAAAAGTTCTTAAAGGCATGGCAGCAGCCTACGCCAAGTGTGATTTCCAAGAATGAAAGTCCTGGCAATGCTCTTGCCTCTTATGGGTCTGTCAGATTGAGTGCATTATCTGATCTATTGGATGTGGTTGAGCGGCTACAACAAGGAGATTTGGTTAAAGAGTTAGCCGAAAAGATAAACCAGGAAATGGAACCCAATTTGCAGAAGCAAATCAAGCAGGATGCTCTTCTGGTCACCGAAAGTAGAGAATCTCTGAGAGCCATTAAAAAGAATGATTTGTCAGGGATCTTTGACAATGTAGAGCCCGGAAGTGCTTCCAGAGCTTTCAAAAATATGTTAGATGACATAAACTCCAGAAGATCAACGATTAAGGCTGGTGGACTGTACGATGAGTACAAGAAGGGTTTCTGTCAGCTATTCAGTAATCATAAATTTCCCCGACAATCTCTAATAACCAGCGAAACGGGTTATCCTGTAGACAGCGAATCAAGTAGCAGGATGAATGTGGAGGACATTTTACCCTGTCAGGGTAATAAAACGATTGACACGCCTTTAACCAAACACGAATCAAAATGTCAGACTCCAGCCAAGAAGTACGTTTCCATGGCAAGTCCGACCACAAACAGCAACTATCTGAAGGCTCTGGAAAACTTTTTGAAAATAAACAAGGAGGGTAATAAGAACGGTGGACTTAAGCCATATTACTTACCACATTCCAAAAACCGTCAGCTTATTTGGAATGATATTCCATTGATTAAGCCAGGTCTTAGTGAGACGCCTAAGAAAACTTCAGAGGATAAGCTTAATAATAAACCTTCTAGTACCCCGATTCAAGAGATTGTAGTTCCTGAAAAGGAACCCATTAAGGCACCCAGCGGTTCTAAACCTGCTCCGAACCTGCTAACTAAAGTGGTGGCTTCCTTTGCCAAAAATCGAGGGTAAGCCGAAAATGCAAAATCCTTTGCAAGAAGTTTTCTCAGGACTGGATCCCAAACAAATTATCACCGGATTAAAGGCCATCAAACAGTCTTCCTTCTTCAATCTTGTAGACGAGTATCAAAAGCAAATTGACAACCTTAATCAAGCATTGAAAAATAAGCAGAGCTGGTGGAAAGAGGTAATGAATAGAGGCAAAGCTCCCATGAGGACACCATCGAAAAGGAATATTATGATGAATAATCCACCAACTGGACCTGCCTTGCCTGTGCCTTTTCCCGAGGTTCTGGTCAATCAGGCTCCATTGGGTGGTAATAATGTCATCGGAAACATGGCCTCCCAAATGAACTTGTCACCTTTAGAAATGGCTCAAAGAATAGTAGGAGCTGGTCAAAACGCTGCACATAATCCAGGCAATGGACAAGTTAGATTCATGCCAAGTAAGTTAAACTATGTTTAATGAAGTATTTTGAGTTATAAATCCTTTAAAAGCAAGTCAGATCGGAAGTAACTTCAAAAAAGTACCAGAAGTTCCAGGTTCAATAAGTCAACAATGGCAGGAGGAGCAGGGGATATCCCCAGTGCTAGACAAGATCCTGGAACGCTTGGAGACCATTCAGGCAACCAAATGTAATAAAACAGCGGTAGAGGAGGAGGAGAAGAATCTGCCCTGCTGCTTTGTGGATCCAGCTGATGGTAATAATCCTTACTTTGACTTAAGATATATACTAACTATATCTAAGTGCAGGTTCCCCTTGTGACCTGAACGGCTCCTGGGAATCCCTAGTCCTGGGAATTCGCATAAATATCCGTTCACCACCCATGAATAATGGAGAGGCACATGATAAGCCCACCTGTTCTCAACATAAAAATCGTAACCATCGTCGAAGGTTTGTACGGCAGTGCGTCAAGATGAACAAGACCCAGTTGAAGGAGATGTCCGATACCAAAAATTCCAGTTACCAAGGAATTACGCTTAATATTACAGTACAAGAGACAGTGCCACCGAGAGCCCATGATCTTCTGGATAACCTCACCGATTGGTATTTCTCTGGTCATACCCTAATGATACTCGGTGGACCACTTTCGCTCTCCTTCCGCAAGGCAAACTCCAACCTGATTGGACACTTCGTTGGCTACTGTCGCACCTGCGGCTGTGTGGACACCATTTTTGGTTCTTGGAGTTTTTGTCAGCCTTCAAGGGATTGCCAAGATATTTGTATGTCGATTGTGGATAGACGGGACATGTTGCGAAGATATAGTATGGATGAGCGACGAAAGAATCGGTTCAAGGAGCAGCTCTACATGGGCAGCAAGTTTGCTAAGAATGAAAAGCAGCAGTTGGTGGTGGAACAGGCAAAATTTAACAAGCAAAGGTCACAGGATTCCCAAAATCCTAATTATGGCAAAACTTGATTTTAAAGTTGGTTTTTATTTTTGTTATTTACTTTCCTTTTTTTTGAAACAATTTTATGTTGTAGTGAAGTTTTATTGCATTTATTAAACTTTTACCTTATCTTTCAAAGAATATTTTCAAAAACAGAAGGTAGGCTTACAACCTATAACGTTGCAACATATTTTCCTGCCTCTTTTGGTGGTTAATGAATGACATTGTATAACCAATCGATCGCTTAACACAATGCTCGTCCATTTCTTCACCCAAGATGCACTGCCTCAGCTGATCCACGGCATAGTCCTGTATCCTTTTCTTGATGTCCTCGTTATCAATTCGTTCCAATCGCTTATTCACCTTGTGCATTAGAATATATGCCGCGGGGAAACGAGCCACTTCCCAGGGCCAATTAGTTGCAGGTGTTCTACTCCAGTTAGAAGTTTCTTGCAAGGCCGAGTAATCCTCGTCTGATCCAGGAGTATTCCTGCCCTGGACCAAGACTAGGGCCGAAATGAGTAGTATAGCCAGAGTAGAAGCCATTGAAACGACTGTTGGAAAACTGTGAGAATGCATTCTAAGTCTAAACCTTTTAAAGGCCTCCAATCAGCTGATAAGCGAATGGAAGAACTGTGGGAACAAGGGCGTTGTCCTCACAATGTTGCTGGTCAGGCACGAGCTTCTCAACTATTGACAGGGTCAATGTCAGGTTACTGATTAGCATACAGCTGTGCTAATATATTAATTAAAATAATGGCAAACTACATGTAAGCAATAATGTTTTCAATTATCAGGCAAATAATTGAATCATTGTTAACCTTAATTAATCATACAAAAAAGGTTCTTAAATTTCTTTAAATATATTTAATGATAGTTAAATAAATTTTTGGTATAGGTACTTTTTTGAAAATATCAAAAAATGTAAAATATAATACATTACTTCTTATTCCTCTTTGTATTATTAATAATCCAGTCCACGATATCCTATCGTAATAAAATATTTAATAAAGAAAAGTCGATCAGTTAAGAATGAATCTCCACCCACCTGAATACCACTTCCTGTCTTCATTGAACATTCCATAAAAGACCAGTCCCTACAATTTAACCGATCCAGACCCATCAAATCGATCACCGTGGACATTGGCAGAGATCCTTGAGTGTCCTTTTTATTGGACAGAATCAACAGTGAAGCCTTATTAAGTTCTTCATGCATTAGGACATCACATAAGACACAACGAGCCTCGCTTAGCCGCACTGCATCCTTGCTGTCTAGAACAAAAATCTATGATACTCAGATTAAAATCATATCTATAGTTATCAGAAAATTCTTAGCTTACCAGGGCCTTTGCTTTCTTGTAATAATTAGGCCAGGCCTGCCTGTTCTTCAGTTCCCCGTTGATATCCCACAACTTGACTTTGGAGTTATCGATTCTGAAGGTCCATTCACTGGCCTGCTTGTTTAGCTCTTTGGACTGTTAAAAGATATTTTAAGGCAAGCTGATTTGGAAAAACCTTAAACCTAATCTTACATCGCCATTTAAGATCTCCACCAGGCGTGCTGTCAAAGTAGATTTCCCAGCATTATCCAAGCCCAAGATGAGCAGACAAGACTTCTGCAAGCCCATCGGCATGATCTTTTTGATAACCGAAACGGGTCCGTAAAGGCACATTGGAACAGGAATTTTAGTGTCTTTAGGTTAGGTAAGTTTCAGTTTCAGACAGAATTAAATGATTCACAAAGCACAGCTTGCTCAGTGATTTAATTTTCTTTTTCCCTTATTTGGTTAATTTAAAAAGCTTTCATAAGTTTAAGAATTTACATAATTTATTTATAGCTCTTTGATAAATAATAAAATTATTCTTTGTAGTGCTAAATTAAAGTTTAAAATATATCTTTAAAGGGTTATTAAATTTACGTATATTTTGATCTTAGAGAAAACTTAACAGGCGATTTTTATGTTTTTTAGGATTACTTCTTCATATTCTTGCAGACCCAGTCCATTCCCTCCTTAAGGCCAGTGCCATCCACGGCAGTACAGGCCTTGATTTCCCAGGTTCGTCCCTGCAACTGCACCAAGCTCATCTTCTCGGCCACCTCCGAGGCACTCATGGCATCTGGCATGTCCTGTTTGTTGGCGAAAATCAGCACTGGGACTTGCTTTAGCCTATTGTCCATCAGCATCTCGAAGAGTTCGCTTCCCGCTTCAGGCAGTCGAGCTCGATCAGTACAGTCAATTACGTAGATCTAAAACAAACAAGTTATTTAACTAACTAAAAGGTTGGGAAATCTCTTATAGTCTCACCAGCACATCCGTATTGGCAAAGTAGTTCTTCCAATATGGTCGTATCTTCCATTGACCTCCGATATCCCAAACATTGAGTTTAAATCCATCGGCTGCCACGGACTTGATGTTAAATCCGGCCGTGGGCGTTACCTGCGGGATTTCACTCCGTATTTTATGGGGAAAACGGAAGAAGTTCGCCGCTTTAATACGCACCGTGGTTATATCCTCCGATGCCAGTTGCTTCAGTATTGTGGTCTTGCCCGCATTGTCCAGGCCCAGCAGCAGGATGCGTGCCTCCTTCTCCGGATTTGGTCTCAGTTTACGCAACAGCGATAGCAGACCCTAAAATTTATGATATATATTAAGTATTTCTTGAGATAGGAAATATATTTTATTCAATGTTTAAAGGGAAAACTTCAGCACATGATTACCACTAAGATTACCACACTCGATGGTTTTCGATGAAACAACTTGGAATTTTGGATTGGAATGAATTCCTGATCCATTTGAAGGGTTATTAAATTGTTAACAAAATGATAGTATTTTTAATAAAAAACAAATCTAGTTGAAAAGGAAATGGTTGGATATAGATTTATACTACTCACGTGAGGTGCATATATAAATCAGTAAATGTATGAATAAAAATCTTTAAAAAATGTGCACTTGGTAATAGAATGCAAGCCAGCTTATCAATTTGTGCACTATCAAAATGTAAAACAAAAAACAATTTTGTTTGAATTGCGATAAGGGCTAACCAAAAAGAAGAAAAAAGCAATGCCATTGTTTTTACTTTTAATGCCAACAAAATAAATTGGTAATTGGAAATAACAGTCTTAGATAATATAACCAAAATGACTTTCGTAAGATTACGAACATATAACCAGCTTATAAACTAATAAAAGAATTTTATAAGAAGTTTTTTTGTTAAAAAAAGTTTTTTCGAAATCCATTTTAAAAATGCTTAAAGACAACCGAAACCTTAATAAATTTCGGCTGTTTTCATTATCGAAAAATAAGATTTTTGAACACCGATAATTGCGCGCCAAATTAGTTAAGTTCAGTGCCGAAAAAAGTTCTGCTCAACATAAGAAAAGAGTGTTGGATAGTTTTCGAGGTTTTTGTTGCCATAGCGACGATCGCAAAACGAAAACAAATCGTTCAATTACGGAATAACAAGGCATTTAATTAGCTGTTACGGAACCGGGAGATAACCTACCATCGTATAATCTACGCGGGAATGGTGGCCAGCAAGCGGGACAATCTACGGCGTCACTATATCTATATATTCCCGGGATCCAATAAGACGGTGTTTTTTGGTGGTCAATTCAGGAACACTCCGGGATTGAGAACTCGGGAAATGGTTCAACTTTAACCACCAAACACAACATCACAGGTTCAGCGCTGCACAACTACTAAAAAACAAATTCGCTCAACGCTCCAACAAATTCCGGCAGCGGCAACAGCAACAACACATACGTCGCCGAGTAACCGCTGCAAAGGAGCGAAAGAGAGAGGTTGGCCCCAGCGGTGGGTGGGGGAGCGGAATTTGAATTGGAACGGGAACGGGAAGAAGATGCCGCTGCTTTTTACGGGCTTCAACGCATTTGGCCAGCATGAATGTGTAAGCGGGAACGTCGACTGCAACGCTGGCTTCAACGGTTTGTAACCGGCAACAAAAGCCGACGATCACTTAGTTACTACAGTAGGCACTCGCTAACTAAAGCCAACTTTAAACTTCACAATTTTGATTTGCTTGTCCTTATATTACAAAGATTTGAATCAATCATTCAAACATTCAAACATTTCTATTGTTTAAATTTCTTACAAAATTCATTGAAATTTCAAATTTTAATAGCTTGACATTACGCTTGAACGGTTCTTGCCCTAGAAGCTTGACTGTACTCTAAATTGTTCTAATGAATTTGTAACGTTTATCAAAAGCCGACAAAATGTAAATTAATTTACACAGTAGAACTCCGGTAAGATAAACTGCAAGTAAAACGAACTTCATAGGAATTTTATTCAGATTTATTCAAAATATTCAAACGATAATGTAAAGCGTTCTTTTTAAAGTGTTCCCACCGTATGCATACTAATTCAGTCCTGCCTTTATTACAGAAATAAATACGCCAGTCTCGACTCAGAACGAGTGCACGATTTCGATCGGCTGGCGGTATGCGGCCCTCGCTTTCGGCCGGAAGTTGTATCTGCGTGGCCTCTTGGATGATAGCCCAAATGAGTGCGTGACCCTTGAAGCAACGGGGGACATTAAATCCCTAGCCGCAAGCGATTCCCACTGTCTAGTGCTGCTCGACAGCGGTCGGCTATATAGAGTGCAACCTAAATTGCAAGCGGAACTATTAGCTGTTAGACTAGAAGCTCCACCCCGAACCCATTTGGGAACAAAGCGCTCCATCTTTGGGGCTCCCAAGGCACCGCCATTGCCAATCATAGAACATATTGCCTGCGGATCGCATATAAACGTAGCTATAAGCTCGGAAAACTCCGTGTACAGCATTCCCAGCTGCCTGCATCAGTTTGCCGAACGTCAATTTCGGGTGAAGCAGCTCCAATGTGGCCATGAACATGCCGTGCTGCTCAATGTCAACGGTGACGTATTTACCTGGGGAAACGGACTGTAAGTAATGGCCATTAACGTACCTTGATTTTGTGAAAATACATTTCCAGAAGGTGTGTTACTTTTACCGGAAATTAGGCGATATTGGGGGGAAGTTTAAATTATATATTTATCTATGTGTTGGTTATGATTTAATTTCCGAAGACCAGTAAAAGTTTCCGTTTCTCTGTAAGGGTATTTGAAGTTCTACAGCCCGAATCTTTTGACAATCTTATTCTAATTTCTTACAATTTCTGCACTTTTATGTCATAATTAACAGTCGTGGACAGTTGGGTCAGGCGGTACTTAAACTGGAGGAGACGCCACAATTGTTGGAGGCGCTGGCGGGGATTAAGGTAAATATTTGTCATGTCCAATTATCTTGGCTGTCACACATTCAAGTGCCTCACTTGCAGATAACTCAAATCGCTGCCGGTGGTTGGCATAGTGCGGCCATATCCGCCTTCGGAGACCTCTACACCTGGGGTCTAAACGGCAGCGGTCAGCTGGGTATACGTGTGATGAAACCTGGAGGTTTCCTAAAAGAGCCCACTGTATATCCGCTGCCCCAGTTGCAAGATCTGCCCGAATGCGGTTGCTCGCAAGGGATGGAGGCGGAGGTGGAAGAGAAATCCAACGATGACTGTGCACCGCTTAGGGTGTTCGCTGGCTCGCGTCACACTCTGCTGATCCGCCAGTGCGGGCGTGTATGGGCCAGTGGTTGGTGTAAACACGGTCAGTTGGGCAAGCAGCTCCAAAACCTGTCTTATGTGGATGAATTTCAAGCCTGGAATGGTATCATAATGAACACAGCTTCGGATGATGTCATCTGCGGTCCTTGGTCAACGGTGCTACGACAGAAGCGATCAGGAGGTTAAGAATTTGTATCTTTTTTGTACGAGCTGTGAGTTTTCTATGATTTTTTTTATAGAATTTACCATTTATTTTAGCATATTTATAATATATTCTAAAAAAATGTCTTCTTCATTAACGTTATATTTTACAAGTAGGTTGAAAGGTCTTTAAAAATCTGTTAAAAAACAATTTTGAAAAACTTACAAATTTTAAAAGCTTATTGGTCTTTAGGATAGCAAAGACACCCACCACTTTACTTTACGCTGGCATACTTTTCGGTGCATTATGTAAAATAGAAATGTCTATTTGTAGAGAATATGTAAGTTTTCATCTGTATCTAAATTGTAAATGAATTAAATTGAAATACAATTTAAGACACGATGAGTAGGCGTTGAACCAATTGTTTCTCCACACATCTAAAAAGAACAAAAAAAATTAAAAAAAAAAAAAAAGTAGCGAAGAAGAAACTGGTTGTACTGATGATCATGGCGTAAGTTGAGCTTATCACAGGATTTGTTCCTTGCCCAGTAAGCAACCTCCACATCCGTTTTCCAGGCCCAGCGTAATCTTCGTGCTTATGTGGCGCCTCAATTTGCAAATACTTTATCCATACGATTACATGGGCTGTTCTCTGCAGGGTGCTCTGAACAATGAGCATCTGATATGGAGCAAGGGGGATCCTTATGAGCTGCAGATGAGGATGTATCTAAGGGACTCATTTCGGACGACGCTCATGCTAGTGCTGATGATGGAGATGATGCAAGCGGTAGATGCAGCCATCAATGTACCAATTCCGATGGTCATGGCCGTTAGACTATGAACTTTGTCCCCACTGCTTATTTGTCCCCCGCATCAAATCAACAACAGCACTCAAATAATTTCGTCTTGGGGTAGGACCCGCTATTGCGCCAACGTTCGTTCGTCGACGTTCGCCGTTGTCGCTGACCATTTAATCAGTAAATTTTATTTTTAAAAATGTTATTAAACAATATTTGCCATAGCAAAAGTCAGACGCTCGTTCGCAGTGCAATAAACTTTTCAGCTCTTGAGCTCCAGCGATTGACTGCCTGATTGACTGGCTGGCTGACTGACTGACTGACCGACTGATTGACCGAACGCCTGACGTTGGAATTTTTTTCTTTGTTTTAACTTTAACTCCGAGCAAACTGGTGATTATATTTTGATTTCGTGGAAGTGCGTTCAACACGAAGGTTTCGTTCGATAGGAATTTTATGCGTGGGCTATATTGGTTCTGATAACAGTTCAATCGATTCGAATTGGAAATGCTCCTTTTGATAGCTTAAGCCTTCGTAAAGGGGAATTTTTCTGAATTTTTTTTATGGTTCTGCAAAACTAAGGCCAAGCTGATTATGATATGTAGAGAGGTTTGATGTTGAAATAGGAACCAGGGGGTATATATTTTCCTGAGATTTTTCTTTTTCTTAAGTAAATTATGTATTATGAAATGAAAGAGGATGTAGATGCTATACAGTATTTTACTTAATGATACCTCTTAAAGATCAAGTATATGATGTTTTCCTATATTCTAAAATTGCTTTCTTGTTGCCTCTTCAAGAGTTCCCATCATCCCACCATATAATAATGGCTTTGTACATGTTTACTCTCCTATAAGCGAATTTTCCGCTATATATTCTGCCAGCGAGTTCAACGCTTTTATGTTATTTGCCAAATGAAAAAGTAAAAAACAAATGTTTATCTTATAATGCAGTTGGGTGGCAGTTCAGTGGAGTTCTGGCGACACGCACACACATGGTGCGTAAATAGGCTTTGCTTTTGGGCTTTACTTTTTCATTTTATGACCGTTTTTGTCGAGTTGGCAAACTTTGTTATCATCAAAAAAAAAAAAAATAATGAAACTCCCGGTGGAAAAGTCTGTGCGAAAAAATGGTAGCGAAGGGGCAGAGGAGGAGGCTTGTCACTTTTAGGTCGCTAAACTATTTTCAGCTAGAAATTGCCACCACACCGGTGGGTGACTAAGAGAAAGACGGAGTAAGAGAGAAAGAGAGAGAGGGCGAGATGTGTCCAGAAAGAGAAGGCCGGATCGCCGGGGAGTTCAAGCGCCTCGCTCAAGGCAATTGCTGTCTGCAGCTTATCAGGGCAACTGGAAACCACTCGAAGCGGCGCAACTACGAAAAAGTGCTAATTGTAAACCCCCCTTTTATTTTGCGAGGGGTTCCTTCTTTTCGTTACTCGAAAATTGTAATTCATGCGTGCCAGCACAGACGCCAAAGTTTCAACAGAACTCAGTCAATCATAACCAAAAAAAACAAAAAAACAAAAAAAAAATAGAAGTAAAGTGCCTAAGAACACTCCTCTTTTGGCCTGAAATGTTGTCTGCACCTTCGGTTTGGGGAGTGTTTATGTTTGCCCTCTGTCCAGGGGGAAGAGATCCCTCCAAGTGCGTGCCACTCCGCATGCAACGCTGAGCAAGTGGCCACCAGTAGCCGATTCGGAGTCAGATCCATGTCCATGTCCAGTAGCCGAACTATCAACAACCGACTCAATAAAGGTACAGGGAAGACTGAAAGATGGTCTATAATTAAAGTTTATTTTAAAAAAGTATATTTTTAAGGATTTTTTAAATATAATTTTCTATTCTTCATATTTCATTTATGAAGAAAATTTAAATCTGTTTCTAATTTCCCACTTTCTACCTAAGAGTGCCTACTGTACTTGCATAGGCCTTTTTTGTGAGTTGTGCGGAAAAACATCATTGCTTGGCCAATTCCCCATTCCCATTTCCCGCACTCGCACTCCCATTTCCTGACCTACCTTGGCTTTTCTTGTTGGCCTGGCCAACACATGTTCCCGTTTGCCTGGCTAAACTATCTGTGTGCCCAACGCCTATTTGCTTTTGGGCGTACATTGAACCGCAGGAGGCCAGAACGCGGCGCCACCCCCAACTAATCATCACTTTGTTGCTGCGTTAATGTTAATGACTCGCCTTGGATTTGCCAACGCCGCCAACTCCCTTTGGAGTTTCCCATTTAAGTGAATGCACCAAAAAAAAAAAAAGAAAATAAGAAGACAAAATGGGGGAAAAAGGGGGAAAACCATATAGGAAAAAGGAAGTCGTGTTGGAGAGCGTGTTCCCAAAACGTTTTGGCATCCCAAATGGATGTCGGGGGCGGCTCCTTTCCTATCACTCAAAGTGCCATAAAAATTATGCATGAATGTATTTGCTTCATTTCTGCACTTTTTTCTTTTTTTTCTACTTTCTGGCCAAATATAAAAGTGCCGCCACACCCCCCGAAAAAAAAGCAGGGAAAAACCTACAAAAAAAAGGGAGTACGAAAATGAAACGAATGCAGAAGCGTCGCATTTTTACGGCTCCATTCATGTGACGACGGAAGTGTCAAGTGGCTGTTGGCAACTCGTCGTCGACGAGCAAAACTTCCCAACCCCCACAGCCAAAAAAATGAAAACAAGAAAAACGAATCCCACCCATCCACCCACCTTTCCTGGGCGTCCTTTTCGTCAACGTCGCCTCTGTGCATCGAAAATGCCGTTATTGTTGCCAGTTGTCTACATGCTCTATGCTCCCATGTACATCACATCACATCGGATCCCGTGATCCCCCTCCCTGGTCACCCCCCCTACCCGCAAGCTTGCTCCTCTCCCGAAAAACCTTTCCACAAATGTCTACAACGTGTGCCCAAGTTGCATTCTCGCTCTCTTTCACACCCTCTATCCCCGTCTCTTTCGACACTGACGTCTGTCGTCATCGTCGTCGTCGTCGTCGAGTGGGCAAACTTTTTAGCGTATGAATGTGTATGTTTCGTTTTTCACCATTATTTTCCTTTTTTTTGTTGTTGTTTCTCACATTTTTCTCCATTTTTCCCATTTTTTTTTGTGTGTACTTTGCTTCATTTTTCTATGCCCTTCATTTAGCTGGCTTTGTTCTTTTTGGGGTACAGTTGTGCTTGTAGGGTTAAGTAGCCTCCAACTCGGACGAATAAGTAGCTACAGATGGCAGATCCAAAAAGTTGACGTTTGCCCTTTTGGAAATGAGCAATGGGTTGAAGTTCTTAAGATATTAGGCTAAAAAAAGTCTTAAAAGAATTTTCATTTGAGTTTGTTACTTACCAATTTCTCTGAAACTAATAATCAATTTTGTCGAAATTACTTTATAATTTAAAAAATATTTTACTTAGAAGGGAAAACATAATTATCTCATTGACCTAATCTATCTTAAGCTTACATAGTTTTCAGAATTTTCTTTCATAGCTTTTTTTTCTAGATTTTTAATGTTAAGATTACTCATAAATTCCCATTTTGTAAGTTTCCTAATCATTCTCTTGACTTAATCTTATTATTTAGAAATCGTTTTCCCTAGCCGTTGTTTTAAGCTTTTCCTTGGAAGACCAAGCATTATGATTATGATTTCTAAAAATTAAGTTAAACAAAGCCAAAGCCTCATGACGCAGAAGTCTTATCGCGAAAATAGTTTAAGATTATTGCCATTACGCACAACTTGAAGTAAAAGAAATTCTAGAATAAAAAAAACCAAGAACGAAATTTCCCATAGAGAGAGAAAATGTAAGTCAGTTACTGCAATTAATGACATTTAACTATGCAACCCTTGACCCGCCTCCGCCGCCGTCCAAGAATAAAAGTCCATGTTTTGGCACCCACTCTTCCTGAAAATTCCATGACAGCTGTCTAATTTGTCGCCGTAATTTGCGTTGACAAGTTGATTGTCCCGTTCATGCCAGCCACTCCCTAATTGCAGTTAGAGCCACTTACATAACCAGCAATGATAGACCCGATTACATGATTACACTCCCAACTGGTTGCTATTGCCACACTCCGTCTGAGTCCCGGCCAAAATCCATGGAGTTTTCCCTTTCGATGCTTGTGCTTTCTGGCCTAGCGCATCCTCGTTGGCCATTTGCATTTTGCATTGCGTCTGACGGTCTAATGAAATTCTGTGTTGCCACATTGCGACCTTCACTGGTGGAGGGGAGGCATCTCCTCTTTTCAGACTGCAGTTTTTGGCCAAAACAAACCTCCCAAAACGGCTGCCATGGCCATGACCATGTCCCACTCCGTCTGGCCCGGCATCTGCCTCTCGGTTGTTATTTTTGGCATCAGCAGCATCATCAGCATGGTAACGAAACGAAACGTGCCGCCTGCCAGACTGCATTTTCCCGGCTCTCTGGCCGCGTGCCACCAGCTGCCTGTTGCCTGTTGGCAATACACTGAGGGAAACTGTGGGTTGTTTTGGATTTAGCAGAAAGTTTTGGAAGTTTTTTTGGGCCACCCCATAATTTATCCAATTTATACAAAACATTTATCAAAAACGATATAAATATGAACATATAACTATTCTTTCAAACTTTTCTCCCTGTGCACCTATATCTGTGGCATTGGGGCGATGCCGGGCACTGGAGTTGGACTCGAATTTGTGTGGCCCTGCCTCCTCCTTTGGCGGTTGGCGGTGGTAGTGGTGGCGGCGGTGGTCGTGATGCTGGCGTTGCTGTGGTGGCATTGACATTGGCGGCGAAAGTGTGGCACCAGGCAGGCACACTTCGCAACGGTTGTATTTTTGGCTTGTTGCATACCGCCCATACCAACACGAATGGCACACTGCGTATACGTAATGGGAGAGCTCTATTTTCGCGTGAGCTAAAATCCAATGAAATCCATTGAAAAGTGCATGAATAGAGATTACGGCATTATGTTTAAGTTGAATCCTCCAGAGTTCTTCAGAGAGTTCTTCAAGTCGTACTGAATATCCTTAAAACTTCTGACTTGTGCATTTCAACTTAACCACTCGACAACTTTCCGCTTGAAGTTGTCTTCGCATCGTCGTATGCGAATCAATTCCCCCATTTTCTTTTTTTTTTTATAATCTCACTCTCCTTACGATAATATGCACAATTTTTTCCAATGTCTGGCCAAAAAAAAACCGTCCACATGGCTGTCTTGTCTATATTTTTTCGTTTTTCGTTTTTCCGTCTGTCTTTTGGCTTAGTTCTCCGAACCCGAACCCCGAACCCAAGCCAACCATTCGATTTACATGCTTCGATACTTTG